CCAAAAAAAAAAAAAAAAAAAATAAAAAAAAAAAAAAAAAAAAAAAGAATTCCTGACAAAATGTTAACTAGAAAAATCTTGACACTGAAGACATACTTCTGAGAAATAGTGGTTTTTTACCTCACAAGACTGAAAAACTGAAGTATGACGAAAGGGAAATTTATAAACAGGCAAGTCTAAACATAAATTTTAAAGTACGACATAAAGGCACCTGCTTTCGAATGAGGCATCAACATTCTTAAGTCTTGCATTAAATGTCTTGTTCTGAAATTTATTCCTCTGGAAGAAAAGATGAGAATCCGTTCCTTATTTTTCCACTTGCCCTAAAGAAAAAATGTTAAAAGGTTTTTAAATCTCAGAGTGAATCTACCTTGTTTGCTTGTTTAAAGATAAAGTTTCCAAATAGCAAGCTAAACAATCCTGACCTAAACCTTTAATTCAGTCTCTCAGTAGCATTTACTGATCCCAACTGCTACCTAGAACCGCTCCTCCTTGGCTTCTTTCCCTTTTTGTTTTTCTTTAGTCTCTCCAATTCCTCTTCCTGATTCTAAAGATTCTTTCTTAGCCTCTTTTATTTCTGTTATCTCCAGGAAGGTTCTCATAATCATTCCTGTTATCTTTAGGAAGGTTCTCATAATCATTCCTATAGCATCAACTGTCAACTCTACAAAAAGGTAAAGAACTCTCTCCAGTCCTACTAATCTCAGTCAATTCTAGAATACTAAACCTTAAATTTGGTAAACTTCTTGTTATTTATTTTTCTGATGATGTCACCATCACTTCAGTCGCCCAGGCTTTGAATCTTCCATTTGCCCTATTCTCTTATATCATAAGCACTACTAGATGCTGTCAATTTCCTCTGCAACAGCTTTTAATCCTTTCCTGTTCCCACTGCCCTCCTTCAGGTCCTTATAATCCTGTATCAATGGCAAATCTCCTAAATGGCTAGTCTTCCCAGCCAGGAGCTCCTCCATGTTAGCCAATTTCGCTCTATTTTTAAAATTTTCAGTAGTCCCCACACTTCAACACCCGATCAGTTTTTCGTCTCTCCCTTGTAATCTTTATTTCACGTCAATAGAATTTTCCATTTCACGACTCGCTGATAACAGATTTCACTCAGATCACTGACATTATAATATTTCTTTCTAGGTCCTTAGGGAAGAGTGACAGCACTAACATTTAATGAAAATCTACTAGTCTCTCCACAAAAGTCGATCATGCTTCCGTCCTCTTAATATGCAGATGAGGAAAGAGCTCCAAACTTCAGTGTTACTTAATAGCAAGGCTAGAATTTAACTCACCTTTCATTCCTCAGAGCTAACTCCCTTCCTAGCGCTCGCCACCAAAACACACACTACCTACTAGAGTACTATGCGAAGCTGGGGGACACAGAAATTAATCACTCAGAGGCACTCCTTGTCTGCAGAGTGTTCAGTCTAGCTTAGGAAGCTCTCAGTTGAATGAAAGTTAGGTCCAACAACTCGTGTTCACTTTTCTTTGGGAAAAAACCCACCAACTTATATAAATTCTTAATTGTCTTCTAAACTCCAACATTTCAGGAGAAAGAAAGAGGTCACGTTCTAGTTCTGCAGCCCCAAAGCGGGGAAACCTAACTTCGTACAGTGCCTGACACGCTGACAGTTTGTCGAATACAAGTAAACCATACCGCCTGCTCCAGCTTCCGTTATGCCCCCGAGAGTTAAAAGCAAACAAGCCAGCCCTGGCCGGGTGGCTCAGTTGAATGGAGCGTCATCCCCACACCAAAAGGGCCTAAGGGAGGCAATCGATCTCTCTCTCATACCGATGATGTCTGTCTGTCTCTCTCAAATTCAACAAAAACATATCCTCGGGTGAGGATTCAAAGGAAAAATCAAACATATCATAGTCCCAGTAACTTTAAAGCACCATATAACAAGCTACGGCAGAACATGGGACTAGTAATCGCTGTTAAGGGATATATTCAACAGCTAGAAACAACTTTAAGGGGGACGGGGAGAGGTGGGGTAACTAGGAAACGGGGTACTCCGTAAGGTGGCTTCCCGCGAGCCAGGTGAGAGCTCTGAAGCCGCGCCGTCGCGAGGCCGGCCGCCTCCGGGAGGGCAGCCACGTGCACGAGGATTAGGTGTGAACGCGGTGGCCAGTCCCGCCGAGAGAGCTGAAACCGAGCTCCGGTAACACCCCAGAAACTTGAGAACCCGCACAGCCGTAATTAGGTGGGTAACACCAGGGAAGGCGCGGGAAGCCGCGGCCGCAGGTGAAACCCAAGAGGAGCCCCTCTACCTTGCAGACAGGGCCTGGGATGCGGTTTCTGTCTTCTTCCTCCGCCTCCTCTGCCTCGTCGCGCTGCTTAGCTGGAGGCCTGGCATCTTTCTCGCTCCTTTTCGGCCTCTTCGCTTGGCCCGCCAGGCCCCCACGCCGCTTCCTCTTGGTAGCCGCCATCTTGGCGCGGCGCTTCTTCCCGGCCTTCCTTGCGGCAGCCGCTCGCTCCCCTTTCCCAGCTCTATGGTACCGCGCGCTCGGCTCCGGGTCCTCCTCCGGCTCTGTGGGGCCTCCTTGCGGTCTCCATGGTACTGCGCGCTTGCCTCTCTAGGCCTCACCCAGCTCGGTGGTGACGGTGGCCGAGGTGGCCCTGAGTTCTGAAAGGAGTGGCGGGAGCTGGCGCCCTTCCTCCGGGTTTCTCCGGGGCCGCCCCTCGCTTCGCGGGTGACCGGGCTGGGACGGGCTCTCGGGCGTCTGGACGCCGCAGAGGTAGGATTTCCGTCCCTGGGATCCCGGGACCAGTCAGCAGATGCCGCCCCGCGGCGGGCTGGGGAACCGGGTTGCCTGGGACTCGAGGTGGGTCTTCTGAGGAGTCGGGGCCCGTCCCCCCATCGCCTGCTGTGTTAACAGGTGGGGGCACCGGGCAGCTCGGACCCGCTCAGGGGGCACGTGGCCCGAGCTGGACGTGGCGAAACTGGCCCCAAGGAGAACCACCGCACTGGTTACCTGCTTTCATGGTTCACAGCTTTTCACGTATCCCTGCTCTCTTACTGAAGACGAGGGGACCGTAACTTCCCACAGTCACAGAGGCAGAGGTGGGGTTCAGTGCCCGGCTGGCCGCGTTCGTCGCCGCGGCGTCTCCCCGCCGCCTGGGCGAGGTTGAGACCCGGCCTCGCGGCCCTGATGCGGAGTCTTGTCGCCTCCCGGCAGGTGCCGCGCGGTCGCGGGAGCGGGCGCCGGGCCGCCCGTGCGGTGGACGATGCCGCTCATAAACCAGCAGGCCCCGGAGGACAGCGACTACAGCTTGGTGGCCTGCCTCGACAACGTTAGGAACCTCTCCACCGTCCTGAAGGCCATTCATTTCCGAGAGCACGCCACCTGTTTCGCTACTAAAAACGGAATCAAGGTTACAGTGGAAAATGCAAAGTGTGTGCAAGCGAATGCCTTTATTCAGGTATGTGAGTAGACACTTTTGAGCCAGTGACATTGATACTCCTCACCCAGTATCATGAATTCCGAGGTCTTAATACACGTCATTTAAGTTAGAGAACAATGGGTTATTTGATTTTTTTTCCCCTCTCCGAGTAACAAATTCTTTTCCCATGTTGTTTTACAGAGATATGGTTACAAATAGTAATGCCTAAGATTTATTAACAGGCATTCTTGTGTTTTATATGTTTAACTCATTTAACCCTCACAATAGTCCTGCGAGGTAGAGGTAAATGGGCTCTTTTATTCCCATTTTACCTATATGGAAACTGAGGCACAGTTTAAGTGATTATCCAACAGTGTCACAGCTTGCAAGTGGCTGAGTTGTGGTGAGAACACAGAACAGTTGTTTCCAGAGTATATGCTCTTTACCACTAACTCCCTTATTTAAAAATATGTTTTCCTTTTCTTGGTTATAATGTAATGTGTGTGTTCTTACAAAGTCATATCTGTATAGTTCAAATTTCAGATTTAATTCAGCATGTTTTTGAATATCTAAGTGCATAGTATGACCTCAGGGATAAATAAGACATGGTTTCTGTCCTCAAAAGAAATTGAAAACTAATATCCCTCATGCATTATCAAATTGAGTATTTTCCAAATGATCTTTGCCGTACTGATGTCCCCCAAAAGGAGAGAGGAGAATCACATGGGGGATAGTTTAGATCCAAGAAACTAGATAAAGGGCCCTCCATAAAGTGTTTTTTTCAATCCTCATCTGAGGATATTTTTTCCATTGCTTTTCAGAGAGAGTGGAAAAGAGACAGAAACATCAATGTGAGAGAGACACATCTATTGGTTGCCTACCACACCCACCCAACCAGGGCCGGGGATCGAGCCTGAAATTGAGGTATATGCCCTTGGCCCAAATCAAACATGGGATCCTTCAGTCTGAGGGCTCACGCTCTAACCACTGAGCCAAACTGGCTAGGGCCCTTTCATAAAGCTTTGCATGGGACCTAAATCCCTGTCACACCTTGTAACTATAGACTAGTGTTATTCTAATGGATGACAGTTGAAAAAGCTTAAGATGTGTTGATTGGTAATCAGAAATTATTTTCATGGGGTTAGCATAATACTGGATTTTTAAAAAACGTATGAAGTGAAATGTGGAACCTTATATCTGAGGTCTCATTCTTTAATATGCTTATTTTTTCATAGGCTGGAATATTTCAGGAGTTTAAAGTTCAAGAAGAGCCTGTTACTTTTCGAATTAATTTAACTGTCCTTTTAGACTGCTTATCTATTTTTGGATCAAGTCCTATGCCAGGTGAACCATTTTGTTATTATTATAATGATGTAAAAGCATTATATAGAGTGGTCAGAAAAATACAGGAAAAGTTATTAGAATATAAGTACTAAACATTTCTTTAGCAAATGAATTGCCAGTTCATTTTTCAATGGTCACAATCAGAGATTCTGACTTTTTACAGTATTAATAGAAAGTGTGCTTATGATTCTTTTCATATTTGCAAAAGTATTTACATTCATCTTTTTTCAACTAACAAAGTTTTTAAATTGGAACTGACCAAAAGGAGACTTTGAACTTGTCCTAAATATCCTTAACATTGTGAAATATGTTTTAATTCTTTTCTCTAACTTGTCCAGACTTATAGTTAGTGGTAGAGAAAAATTGAAACCAATTCTCCTGACTCCCAGTTGATTGCATTCAAAAGTTTTTCCCTTTCTCCCCTATTAACTCCTGTTTATAAATTATGTCTATTTTCCTAAATGCTTTCCTTTAAAATATTTATGTATTTTATTTGTTTAGGGATTTTTTTAGGAATAGAGAATTCTGTTGCTGTGATTATAAAACCACAAGGAACTCCCAGAAGAATGATTTTATTTCATAGGAAAGGAATCTAAGATTAGCTAGGGGAAATTCAGTTATGATTCTCTAGAAAGTATATTTTAGTTTTACCCTGACAAATCCATTATTATAAATTATACATTTTCTAATGCACCCGGTTTTTCACAAAAGTATCTGCCTTCCCTTCTTCCTCCCTGTGGCTCTCCATCCTTCAGGAAGTGAGAGGAGCTAGACTGTCCTATCATATTCCTCTTCCTGTCTAGGAGTTTGAGTGTTAAAACCCTAACAACTATCATTAATCATCCTCTCTTTTTCTCCCAGTTTGATTTTAAAATTTGGGGAAATGTAAAGGATGTCTCCCAAGAGAAAATATTGGAAGAATCCTTACTATAGTGAATACACTGACATTATAGTAGAGACAATACCAAAGCAATTAGCTGTTGCACAAATTGGACCTTCAAGAAATAGCATGGCTTATTCTGCAACAACACCGACGTGCAATATTGGACCATGTAGACTCTCCATCCTGAAGCTGTGTATATATATAATCAATAAGTTATTTAGGAGGTGTTTTGGCAAGCCAGAAAATGATCTCAGAGTTACATTACAGTTTGTTGCCAATTTTCTTGCAGTTATTTTTGGAATTGTTTATATACAACTGCCACCAGGGAAGATGTGATCCTTTCTTATAGATAGAGACATACATATATGCTAGAAATTGGGCAGAATAAAGTATTCTTGAGGAACTGTATGTATCATTTGAGGAGAAGCCAAACCCAGAGCTATACAGCTAAGCCCAAAGTATGATTTATGTCCATTGCAGGGAACTTAACTGCACTTCGAATGTGTTACCAAGGTTATGGTTACCCCTTGATGCTATTTCTGGAAGAAGGAGGAGTTGTGACAGTCTGTAAAATCAATACTCAGGAGCCTGAGGAAACTCTGGATTTTGATTTCTGCAGCACCAATGTGATTAATAAAATTATTCTGCAGTCAGAGGGGCTCCGTGAAGCATTTTCCGAATTGGATATGACAAGTGAGGTCCTACAGATCACCATGTCTCCTGACAAGCCTTATTTCAGGTACCTGAAGGCAGTACTGATAGTTATTATCGTTTACTCCATCTCCCTACTTACACATTTGCTAAGGATTCAAGACATAGAGTTTTATCCAGGGTCCATTTTCAGAACTTTAGAGAGCTTTTACTTTTACCTCACACTTTTATTGATTAGGACACTTAAGACACTTAACCTGTGAGTTAATCTTCATAGTGTCATAGTTAGGCAGTGTTGGTTTCTCGGTGAGTAGTTCAGTCTCCTAATTCATAAACTGGTGGTCTTTTCATTGTTGTACTACTTAAACTGTTGTAGATTGGTTACATCATGAGGGAAGCGGCTTAAACTTTGGGAAAAGGTGTTTGTATTATATGGTATCTCTTTTCTTCCCTTTCAAGTTAGATGAGGAAAGGTCAGTATCAGAGTAGGATTAAGGTAATGAAATTGAGGCAAACACCTAGATTCCTTTTGGGACTGTGTTGATTGCTAGTTCCCCTGTACTCCCAGGGGATCTTTATTATGGTGATTATCACAGTGTATTGTCAACATTTGTGTTTCACTCACTAGAATAAGTTTCTTAAGCAAGTGTTTTCCTTATTTGGATCCTGATGTGGCTTATTGTTGAACCAATGACTAATGGCTTTCTCATTTTCTACTCTAGGTTATCTACTTTTGGGAATGCAGGAAGCTCCCACCTTGACTATCCCAAAGATTCTGATTTGATGGAATCATTTAATTGTAATGAGATCCAAATCAACAGGTTAGTTCTTAATATAGAGGTTACCATTGGTGATGAAGGTGAGGTTAAATACCAAATTTTTATTAAAAAATTTTTTTTAACTTTTAATCTGTTGATAAAAGTTAGCATTTAAAAAAATTGAACAGTAGGTTCTGGATTTACTTGAGGATTTGGGGTTATAGTGAATGAAATTTTTTTTAATGAAGAGAAAATATTAGCAAATTGGACAAGTATTGGATTATATTCTTATATTTGCTACTTGGTAGTTCTTGGCTCATTTTTGTTCTTTTCTTAGAGTTATGAGCATTGCTTTATGTGTGTCCAAATAACAGCTTTTTATTTACTCCTCTACAGATACAAGATTTCTTTACTGAAACCCTCTACAAAGGCATTAGTCCTGTCTTGTAAGGTATCTATTCGGACAGATAACCGAGGATTCCTCTCATTACAGTACATGATTAGAAATGAAGATGGACAGATATGTTTTGTGGAGTATTACTGCTGCCCTGATGAAGAAGGTCCTGAATCTGACTCTTAAGTGTGACGGTGCACTGTGACATTAATGTCCACATTCAGATAGGTCACGTTCTCATTCGCATGTACTGGATTTCCTAATGGGCAGAGGCAGGGAGGAGACAGGAGCAAGATCCCTGTGTCCTAAACTCACTGTCGTGTAAGTGAATGTTTTCATGTAGTCATAGATTATCCTGTACTGGATTCTCCTGTGGTTCTTTCTTTTGAACTCATAAGAAGTATTATGAGTCATGATGAATAAATTTTATATTCTATTTAAGTAGGACATTTCAGAAGTCTGAAAATTTAAAGTTTGATGGAGCCATGTATGAAATGTTCTTTTATTTATTTACTATTAGAAAAAATAAAGGCATATGGGCATTGCTTATTAGTTTGAATTTTGGAGAGTATATCTTAAAGATGTGATTCTTAATGGGTTGTGCCCAGACCAACACCATTGGCATCACCTAGAAACTTGTCAGAAACTCTGCGAGTGGGCCAGCAAGCCCTCCATCAACCCCAGAAATTCTGATGTATGCCAAAGTTTGAGAACCATATGTGAAAGGATACTTAAAAAAAAAAAAAAAAAAGGCATTTACTTGCATTGAATGGTTGCTTTTCTATGATATTTCTTCACAAACCTAAAGCTTAGGCATTGCCAAACAAGTCTGAATAATTATATGATTTATTTTTAAAGTATTCATTTTGAAGAAATCTATGAACAAGGTATAAAAGTCTTCAGATTATAGATTTTCTTGTTCTCAAGACTGCTCAGTGTAGTGAGTCCTGCGAAAAGTACTTATTAGATTCCTGTTTCCCTATAAAAGTTTCTCAACCAAACTAAGGTGGAGAAAGACAGTTATTAAGTGGTTTGCATTTCTTGGGTAATTTGCAATGAAATAATTTTGTGGCATGTAGATATTTAATAAAATATAATACTAAAATTACCTGACCTGTGTTCTAATAGAAAAAATATATATCCCAAATGAAGTTTCTGTACCAGGTGACAACAGCTTCATGTCTCTAGGTGGGAAGGCACCATTGATTGGCCTTTTGGGTGAAACAGTTTATCGTGGGGAAAAACTCATCCCCTTGCAGGATCCATCTAGCCTCCCTCATCCTTACCTACTAAGGCCAGTCATTGTGACCACCCCTGCCCCTAAATAAAAGTGGCCCCCTATTATTGATGGTTGAGAACTGTTAAATGATATTCACCAAAATCTAGGGTATATTTCAGGAGATTGGTTTGGAGGGTTTTGGAGCATAGCACTTCAGAGAGAAAGGCTCCCCTACGACAACTGTAAGCACCGCTCCTAGGCACATGTACAGTTCTGTGTGTGGAGCCCAGGGTAAGTACCCAACAACTAATAAGTCTCTCAATATCAGGATGCCTGGCTGGTACAAAAGAAGCTGGGATTTTATAAAGTATAGTATGTGTTCAAGAAGGAAGTGAATAAATCTACTAAATGTTACCCAAATATTTTTTTGTTCAGATAAACACCAGGAACAGAACAAATTAAAACATAATTATGAAAGTATTTAATCAGTCAACACTTCAAGGACTACAGCTTTCCTTTAAATTAAAAACAACACAGTTATTTTTGTTTTTTGTTCACTGGTATGTCCAGTACCTAGAACAGTGCCCAGCATATAATAGGCATCAATAAATATTAAAGAACCTCCACTTTCAGATTATCATTTAGCATCTTATTAGTCACTATTTAATTCCCACTATTTAGCTCTGAATTTATTTTGATCTAAAGTATATTTTAAAAATTGAACCTATGAAAAATTTAAAATATAAATTGACTTATTAAGATTGACATTTTTGCACATTTAAGACTATCATTTTAGCTGCATCTCTCTTCAGCATGAATTTAATTATTTTTAAATCGCCAACATTGAGGTACTACTGGTTTAATAAAGAATTTCCTACTTATGTGTGTTCTGTTTGACCTAGGAATTGACTAGTTTAATTTTGTTCTGGTTCCCAAGAAAGACCGCTGGGGGGAGTGCTTCCTCAGTCAGAGCAGGAAGCTTTGGTGACTGACTACAAATTCCTATCCAATAGAAGAATATAATCTTATTGTTAAGACCTTTTGTTTTGCCTTTTTGAAGTTTATTTTGTTTCCTTTTCAGTAAAATTGTGCTTACCATGAGTGGGTTGGTAATTTTTTTCCATTTTTAATTTGTTTATTCCCTATTTGATTATGTATTTCCACCCAGAATTGATAAAATGATTCAAAATAATAAAAATGAAATCATTCATTAAATTTTACTTTTTAGAATAAAGATAATCTTGTAACATTTTGTAAGCACTGAGTGGTTTGATAAGCTCCTAGTGAAAGAAATTGACACTTGGATCCCCAAAGACACAGGGTCTTTGAGCTCTGTTACATCAGCTCAGGTAACAGAAAGGATGAAAATGGAAAATAAAAGTTCTTTACAGTGTAAACTCAAACGAATCTGATTTCTCCTTTGTCCCTGAATACACACAAGAAATGTAAAGAACATAGTTCGAGATTGCCAATTTTTTTTCTAGATATACACTTACTTGTTCAGGGGCTAAGGATTTTTTAACCTCAGTGAGCATTCCTTTCCTAAAACGGTCCTTTTGATCCAGTTCCGTGGGGGCAGCATAGTGGTATGGAAAGAGGAATCATTTGATTGAGGAAGTCAGCTTCCTAGTCACCAGGCTGACCTCGAACAAGTCAATCTCCTTTGTCCTTAGTTTCTCCATTTTTAAGAATAAAAAGCCCTTTCTGACTAACATCATATGACTTTAGTAAATCAGAGCAGGGCAGATGTTTAAGATTAAACTGTTTTCCTGACCTGACCTCAAACAGGTTTTGACTAAAAATACTTCCAGATAGCCTGGCCGGCAGGGCTCAGTAGTTGAACTTCGACCCATAAACCAAGAGGTCACAGGTTCGATTCCTGATTAGGGTATATGCCTGGGTTGCAGGCTCAATCCCCAGTTGGGGGCATGCAGGAGGCAGCGGCCAATCACTGGTCCTCATTGATGTTTCTATCTCCCTCTCCCTTCCCTCTCTAAAATCTATAAAAACATTTTCTTAAGCTTATTAAAAAAATATTTCCAAATAATATTCAGATAATCACCAATAAATTACTTAGGTATTGTAGAATTTCTAAAACAGAGAGAGAACTAAAAAGAATGAAATTAGAGTTAGAAAAAGGAAAATGGAAGGAAATTGAGTCCAAGTGACATACGAAACCTAAACAAAGATTATCTAAAAAAAGATTGCTTTCCCCCAAATTACAGGTCAGGTTCCTGGTTTCTAACAGCTCTTGGTTATTTTACCTGTAATGCTGCTGCGGAGTAGACGGTTTTTCCTGGAGTCCTTAGTTCTGCTTTGATCTACCACTGCTGTCAGTTCTCGGCAAGGTTGGCTTTATTGTCCACTACCTTGTATAGAGGGTCTCTCTTTACTGATAGTAGAAGACCTGGAGGAAAGGAGAAAACCAGTTAGTGCACTTCTCTTGGTTCTCGCCTTCTCGCCTCCTTCCAGCACCAAATCACTGCCAGATAGAACCAGAGGGCTGAACTCACCATGTGACCATGCCCCTAAAATACCAACTCTGCTAAAAAGCCTTCACAATGGTATTAGAGTCTTTGGTTTTCTCCCTAAAGAGCAGGGAGCTCTTTCCTTGATTTAGATATCTGAGATGCCTGGATTACTTTTAGTCACAGCTT